TAATTATACCAAGAGATTTTTTTCCTTCAACATGTACTTGAAGACTAAGCTCAAACAATAAACAATTCAGAAAAACATCAACTTACAACCTAATTATAAAGGGATAGTAAAGGAGAAGAGCTGTTTTTTAAAAGCAAGTCTACTTTATTTGTGGACATAAGGCTATACACTTAGTTATGTAAACTTTGACCTAACTATATTAGTTACTCTAACTGGTATTGTGTTTCAATAGAGAAACGTTTTAAAGTAGACAAATCTTTTCATTGGTAGTAGGTTAGTGTCTTTGAACATCTTCAAGATTGAAGAATATAACTAGTTTGAAATGTCTGTTGTTGTTAATACACCTACTGTAGCCACAGGTTTACTGTATTCCACATGCAGCTTTGGGTCTTCTGCTGGCATTTATACTGCAGTTGTGATGACTTGGGTATAATCTTTCAGATTGATCTGGTTTTGTTGTGTTTCACTTGGTTGTAGAGATCATCAATAGAGGCATGTTTGGTATACATGAGAGAAATACTACCCTGAATCCACTCCAGTTACTTGTCTGGAAAGCCTCTAGTGAGACACTTACCATCTGGCATAGTAGCAGGCATGAGGCAAAGACTGGCTAGCTAATATTAAATTAGTGGACCCATTTTGATAGTTCTTCAAAATCTAGTTTTTCTAATTAGCTTCCAAACCTGGCAATGTGTTTTCCAGCTCCTGGAGATGTGTTAAATTTTCTTGGCAGGTTTATCGTGCAAGGGACTGTGGCTCACAGCTAGTAAAGAAAATGACCTTGCAGAGAATAGATAAGAATGCTGATGAAGTCCTAAAACATGGATAAGCTTGTCTTCTGCTAGCTGTGGGAAGAATCCCAGATCTTCCACATGATTATGAAGTTTGGAATAGGTATGCTTTAAGGTTAATTACACCAAAAGCAGTTTACAACAGGAAATACTCTGTCACTTCAGTCTCTAGTCATCTTCTGAAGCAGTATCTTTCATAGATAAGGTTTCTTGATGGATATAACCTTGGACAGTGAAGGCAAATAAACTGTCATCCTTTGGTGATACGCTTGATAGGTATTGTCCAAATAGGGCAGATCATTGACCCTTGTAGTTGTTGAAAATGTGGACATTCTGCTGATAGCATTCATTGATTTACTTTTGTGGAAACAAGGCACCAAATGAAATGAGACATGATGTCATGATATGACCCAGGCTTGTCTTTCTGGCAGTAACCTTGTTTAGATGAGTTAAATATTACTTCCTTTGTTGTCTGAATCTCTCCAGTTATTAGATTTTTTTTTTTTGCTTGCTTGCTGTAGTGTCGTTGCGATGTGGCAACTGAAGCTCTATATGAGGGACTTCTGTAATGATTTTTCTGGTGTGGATGCATGTGTGTGTGGTGTTTAGAAAATATTTGGTGCATTCAGATTATTAGACTTCATCTCCTGAATATACACAAATAAAGTGTTTCTTCCACCTTACTTCTAGACCTTTTTTCTGTTGTACTGCTGCTAGTACTGGTTCAAGCTGTTGGAGGGAAAGGTGGAAATTAGTTTGTCACACTGTATTTCTGCAGAAATTTGTGGCTTGTTGCTGATGCTTGAGAGGTTGGGAAATGCATGTTTTCTATTTCCTGTGAGTGATAACCTCAGTATGATTGAATTTGGAGGGAGTATGTTGTTGACCTAATGTTTGTCAGTGATAAACTAAAAAACAGACCATTTGATCTCTAACAAGGGCATACATGCACGCTCTTTCTAGTTGCTGGATTTAGCATTTAAACATTCAGTGGAACTGCAGCAGGGTTTCCTGGCACTTGGAAAGAAACCTTTAAGCATCTTGATCTGCGTTTGGACAAATCTGAGAATTGATCTTTTTCCTGTTAAAAACAGAATAGTCCTTGTTTTGAGAGTTGGAGACCTGTGAAACAATGAGTTAAATATTGCTGCAGTAGCTCTGAAGGCAAACAGAGCTGCTGTTGTTTGCTCCATAATAGCACTTGCTCAGCCTTGGACACTAGAATTTTTTACAAGATGGGGAATGTTGGCTAGGATCCCGGAGTGGGGGGGTTTTTTACTGACGTGCTTAGGAGGTCTTGATTTATCAAAGGACAGCACCCTTCAAATAAGCAGTATCTTTGAAGTGTCACTGTTGGTTTAGCCCCAAATCTGTGAATTCAGAAGTATCCTAGCATCAGTTTCTCTGTAGCAGCTTAACAGAGGCTTCCTCTACCAAAAGCTATTTATCCCTATAAGTCATCTGGTAATTTTGATCATCCCTGTTCTAGAGCAAGAATCTTTTACAGAACTATTGTTAATCCTTTCAGCTGTCAGTTTTCTTTTTTCTTGGCTGTTATTACTTACTAGCTCAAAAAAGTAGCTACAATACAGGGATTCAGATATTCCAAAGTGTGCATTAGACAATTTTGTGTTTGATAGGAGTTACCTGTCTGCATGTGTGAAGAGGTAGCTCTTAAGTCATTGGACAACTGTTGAAAATACATATTGCAGCTATTGCAAGCATGCAAGGAGTTGTACTCTAAAACTAGGTGAAATGATGGCTGACACTTAAATATCATAGAATCATAGAATGCTTTGGGTTGGAAGGGACCTTTAGAGGTCATCTAGCAGCTTTAACTAGATCAGGTTGCTCAGAGCCCTGTCCAACCTGACCTTGAATGTTGCCAGGGATGGGGCCTCCCACTACCTCTCTGGGCAACCTGTTCCAGTGCTTCACCACACTCGTTGTAAAAAATTTCTTTCTTATGTCTAGTCTAAATCTATTCTTCTTTAGTTTAAATCCATTATTCCTTGTCCTGTCACAACAGGCCTTGCTAAAAAGATTCTCCCCATCCTTCCTGTAGGCCCCCTTTAAGTACTGAAAGGCCGCAGTAAGGTCTCCTCGCAGCCTTCTCTTCTCTAGGCTGAACAACCCCAACTCTCTCAGCCTGGCCTCATAGGAGAGGTGCTCCAGCCCTCACATCATTTTTGTGGCCCTCCTCTGGATCTGCTCCAACAGGTCCATGTCCTTCTTGTGCTGAGGGCTCGCTGGACACAGTGCTCCAGCTGAGGTCTTACCAGAGCAGAGCAGAGGGGCAGAATCACCTCCCTCGACCTGCTGGCCACGCTTCTTTTGATGCAGCCCAGGATACGGTTGGCTTTCTGGGCTGCAAGCACACAGTGTTGGCTCATGTCCAGCTTTTCATCCACCAGTACCTCCAAGTTCTTCTCCACAGGGCTGCTCTCAATCCCTTCATCTCCGAGCCTGTACTGCTATCAGGGGTTGCCCCATCCCAGGTGCAGGACCTTGCACTTGGCCTTGTTGAACCTCATGAGGTTCACAGAGGCCCACCTCTCCAGCTAGTCCAGGTCCCTTTGGATGACATCTCGTCCTCCTGGTGTGTCCACTGCACCACTCAGCTTGGTGTTGTCTGCAAACTTGCTGAGGGTGCACTCGATCCCAGAGTCTATGCCATTGATGAAGATGTTAAACAGCACTGGTCCCAACCTTAAAATGCTAAATTTGATTTTGCTATGTTGTCTTGCAGGTATCTTTTTCTGGACCTGCTCCAGGCTGTTACGTGTTACAGGTCAAACTAAACTTCCCCTAGGAACTACATCTATTTCTTAACTTTTTTTTTAAAGACACAGTTGTTATATAGTTTTTCAGTAATTTGCTGCCATAAATAACTTTAAAAGGTAACATGGGTAATGTGTTATACCTATGAGATAAGTCCCCTCTGAGCCTGAAATTAGGAGTTGCCAGCAATGCTATGCTAACTGGCATGTGGAGATGCCAGGGAAAGGTACATGGCAAATGGGAACATTCTTTCCTTTTTCTGTGGTTGACATAAGCAGCCTATGTTTTGCCCTACTAGAAAGAAAGGTTATTTCAGGCTTTCTCCATTCACGCCTAGATTCCATACATAGTTTTTAACCTTAATTCAGATTTGGTTCTTCTAAGCAGTTTCCTCACAATCCCAGTCAGTAAGCTGTTTAAGGGTTATGGTAAAGTTGTTGGTATATCAGACTTCACAGAATGGCTTGAAGTTAGCCTGAGGCACAGGTTGAGTTCTAAAGGTCACAAAGGTCATGGTCCAAAGACCACATTAGTGTATCAAATAGCAGTATATTTGTCCTTAGAAAGTGTCTCAGTTTCTGGTATCTAGAATTAGACATAATCTCCAAGTGGTTGATTAAGGGAGGGGAAAGAAAGAATAATTCTCATAGTTAACTTCTTAACTGAAGCAAAACGTACAACACTTTTGAGCTTTGTGCTGGATTTGAGTAATAGTCCCTTGCCCTTTGTTTCATTAGGAGGTATATTTGTGGCTAACTCAAATCTTTAGTTTGTGTGAGAATTCTAATCGCTTATTTTGGGGGAAAAAAATACTTAATTGATTAAAAGGTTGGAAACCTGTATCATCTGTGAAACTGTATGGTTTTTTGTAATCAATGTAGAACCAGCAGGTCTCATACCAAGAAACTAGCTATACCTTGTTTCTGGCCTAGCAGTGTTTGTAGTAATGGGATTTTGCTGGCACAGTCAATACCAGGGCCAGCAATTGGCAGATGTCTGCCTCCCTGTCTTCTGTCAAGGTATTTGAAGTATCTACTTGTGATTACATTTTAATGATATGACCTTTAATTTACATGGAACAGCCACTTAGAGTGGTAAAAGACCATGCACATAGAGATAAAAATAGACTAAAGTTGAGCTGTTTTCCTAGACTAGGTGGGTGTGTAATTCCTTAAGACACTGTTAACAGGGGCAGTTTACAAGATCTGGGATGACTATAGTGACCCTGTGGGACTCTCTTGGAATGTGATGAAAGAAGACATCTTTAAGTACTGGTTATAGGTTTAAAAAAAAAAAAAGTGCTGTTAAGCGTTCCTTTCAGGTATGAGGTTGAATGTTTACATCTCTGCTGTTTGCTTATATTTGCTGCAAATCTGAACTCCTAGAAGTTCTTTAATGTACTTTTGTCTTTAACTTTTGTTAAGGTCATAATGGTTTCCATCCCTGAATACTATGAAGGAAAGAACGTCCTCCTGACGGGCGCTACAGGCTTCATGGGAAAAGTGCTTTTGGAAAAGCTGCTCAGATCTTGTCCTAAAGTGAAAGCAGTGTATGTATTGGTAAGACACAAAGCAGGGCAGACACCTGAAGCACGAGTAGGAGAAATTACCAGCTGTAAGGTATGTGTCATAGGCTCACAAAGTACACTTTTGTCCTTCTTTATAATGTTCCCATTTCATTTTGAGAAAACTTTGGTTTGTCGAAAGCAAAATATTGTTAAATGTTTTTTGTTCTAGCAGAAATACAAAATCCAAGACCTGGCAATGCTTCTATGGCTGGTTTTCAAGCTGTTAGTCTCTAGCAAAGCTGGTAGGGCAAAATTATCCTGTATTTAATTCAGGAGGAGGATGTTCAGTGGTAATGCAAAATTGAGAAGTAAACCACCTGAGTTGAAACTTGTTAAGAGAATGTGTAATCAAGTGCAAGAGGCAGTGTGGACTGGGAGCTGTAAGATGGGATTGAGGCCCTTTAGATCTCAAGCAAGTCACTTTTTCTCCTTGTGCCTTATTTTCTTTTCTGTAAGGTGAGGCTTAGTACTTCCTTTTTCTTGAATGCACTATTGGATCTATCAGTAAGCAAGAATATGTGATCCAAGAGGTTGTTTAAATAACTATGTTTGTAAACAGAACAGAAATGTTTGTCTTAATAGATTCTATTATGGATTTCTGTTAGTCATACAGATTACTATAAACCTGTGACAGCAAAGGAAAGGCACTGAAATTCTGTGCTGTGGAAGTATCAAAGTGGTTATTGAAAAGATTTTCTGTGTGTGCTGGGTGGGATACTTTCCTCCTGAAAAGACTCATTACCTTAATACTCTCATGAGCTAGGCTGGGCATTCTTACTATATGCAGAACCATCCATCAGTGTTGCCTGTCCCTAATACAGATTATCCTGTTTGTGATGAGAAGGGTGAACAGGAAGGGGAGAGATTTCTAGCGTGAACTTTGCTAAAGCAGAGTTTATTTACTTCTATCTAGGTCTTTCTCTTATGGGACGTGGGAGTTGGCAGTTTAATATTTCAGGCTTAGGAAATACATTGAGATACAATGTAGTCTCTACAAAGTGTGTGCTTAGAAGTTGCCTAAAGGGAATCAATAAGAAAGTATGAATGCATTTAGGCTAGGAAGGGTAAGTTGTTTAAAGTAAGGCAATGAATTTCCACGACTGACAAGAGTAAAGCAGACATGAGGATGGCTGTGTCCCTAGTAAATCACTTTCTGTAACCATGTCAAAGCTCTAGCTCATTGGTCAAAAGCATCTGCTTGCAGTCCTGCGCAATGTCAAAGAATGCAGCAGAACGAGTTACACTTCTGTCATCAAGTCACAAATTCTCTCTGCATAAAACCCTCAGTTTATCACTCCCTGAAACAAGGAAAAGATCTCCAGGCTAAGCTCTGAGATGAGAAAGGAAAAGTTTCTCAATCCCCTTTTTGTGTACACTATTAACCAAATAAAAAATGGGGACTATTTGGGCAGGGGGGAGAGTAGCAGTAGTGTGGGTTGATTTAAACTTCAGTAAGACTTAAGCTTCAGTATAGCTTTTGGGAAACTCGTGTTGTAAAAGGCTTTTAAATTTTAGTCCAAATCTTCTGCTTATAGTCTGTTATCTCAGCAGGAGTTGGTATAATTTGATGTGTTTTATGAGTCTCGGTGAGTACTTATTGCTGGAACAGGTTCACAGCAGAAGTCCTGGTAAGCAGGACCACTGCTTGAGGTAGTCCTACATGTTAGTCCGTAGAGTTGAGAGCATAAGGGGATGGTGTTGCACATCTCTGCACAGATGTGCATAGGGCCAGATACTTGTTTTGTCTTCATCACATGGTGAGACAAATTAGATTGAAACTGTATTGTTTAACTGGCATTAATGTAATCAAGATTCCTCCAAAAGACTACGAAAATTTTTAACAGGATATATTGTCTTAAGTTGGCCAGTTGTAAGGGCCCTGCCAGTAACTTTTCACAATTGGCTGAGCTCGTTAAGTGTTCTACAGATGCTTGGACATTCCGTTTCTTGAAATGTTTAAAATCTAAATATGTAAATGTGATAATTAAAATAAATTGAGCTGCAAGTAGCCAAAAAATGTTGAGGCTTCTACTTCCTTTGGACTCAGATATCCAATTCCTCTGCTAATTTGCCATATGTATTGCATGTGCTCTAGGTCTTTGTTCTTGTTCCTCTTTGTACTGGTGTCAGTGCTAGTATGAGGTATGTAGGAATAATGTATGGCTATGGATGTGAAAAGGGGCAGAACAGATAAAACGTACAAACTAAAAGTACCAAACCGGTTCTTTGTTTCAGTGCTTATCCATGGGACTGCTTTTCTAGTATAATGCATACCACACATTAATATTGGTAAAAGGTAGTTGCTTCAGTTCCCTGGAGGCAAGCACCATCATTCCAACTAAAACCATAGCAGATTTATTTTCAAAAAGACAAAAGGCTTCCTGCCCTTAGGTAAGCACTGTTTGCTGTACCGTGTGAACTAAGAATTGCAGAGGCTTTAAATGCTGTCTTGGCACCTTTGTCCTATAAGATGAAGCCTCATGTTTGGGAAATCAGTTCAAGACCTCTATCACTGGAGATGTCCCATATTCTCACCACAGCATTACCACTGCTACTTTAGCTGGCCACGCAGTGAGCTGCGTTAGATCACAGTTGAGCTGAAAAACATCTACAAAACCCCCTATTTTTTCAGCTGGACCGGGAAACTTGTATGCTCACACAGCCATCGGGCTACTTGCTATTGCCAGTGCAGGAGAAGCAACATGGAAATGAAGATGTTAGAGAGGGACCAATCTGTTTGGTAGTAGTACAAACTTATATTGCCTTAAGAGTCACGAAACTGTACCTTTAGGTGACTTAATTTATAGTTGAAAATGAATTGACTTCTCTTTATTCTGTAAGGAAATGTCTTTTAACTATTTACATTCAGTATAACTGCATGCTTGGCGTGGGGGGAATACTGCTGTGATTTTAATAGATTTTAATTGACTTGTGTTGAAGCAGTTGCTAAGATATTGGACCCTGTACAATTAAGAAGAGGGGTCTGCTCTGGTGAAACTTTGAAGTGTGTTTTATTCCCACAGTACTGTTTTTTGCTCAGGAAAACTTGCATGCTAATAGGTGTAAATAAGGTAAGGCAAGAATTTTTATCTGTGCGTGTTAAGCCACATGGTTAGAACCCAGCTAATTATGAGGAGAATATATGGTGGAATATAATATGGGTGAGATTTTTTCAGTGGGAATAGTTGAACACCAGTTTGGTAAGACTTGATCTGATGTTCTAACCCTGCCTTTTTCTTTTAAGTAGCCAGAGAAACAACTTTTTTCATCTGGAAGTTCCCCAAAACTGGCATAATTCCAGGATAACACTTCTTGAATCACTAGAAATTTTTAAAGCTTGATGAAAGCTTTCTAAACCTAAAAAACCAGCATGACTTGTTCAAGTCTACAAGAATTTGAATAGTTATTATCAAGCTTGGGAAGTGGGCAGACTTTTCCCTTTCCTTCTGTTGAAAGAAGAGAGATGATGGTATTTAGATTGCTGCTTAAAATTTCTTTGAGTCCTGGTGTCTGAAAGAGACCATTCCTCCTTTCTTCTGATATTGATAGAGATCTGGTTTTAAGGATACGGATGAGTATTAAAAAAATTTCAGTGCAAACTGAAGTCTTACTACCTTCTATACAACACATGCAATACTGCTTTCGCTGTATGGGATAAAGTGTGCACAACTTCATTGCTGAATATGTTCATGGGAATTCAGTAACATGTTGTAATATTCCTAACACACTTTTCTAACTTGCCTCCTTACTTCTCAGGATCATCAGTATAGCTCTGTATAGGCAGAAGATGTGGGGGTTTTTCTTCACTTAAGTGAAATATGTATCTTTTATATTCACTGGCTATTAGTTTGAATTTTTTGTCCTGTTTTTTTTGACAGCTCTTTGACAGGTTGAGAGATGAGCAGCCAGACTTCAGAGAAAAAATAATAGTAATTACGAGTGAACTTACACAGCCTGAACTGAACCTTAGTGAAACAATCAAGGAAGAACTTATAGAGTGCATTAATATTATATTTCATTGTGCTGCTACAGTCAGATTCAATGAAACACTAAGGTAAGTCTAAAATTCTGTATACTCTGGTCTGGTAAACCAGTGGTACTCAAAGGGAGGGGGTAAATCAGGTGTCTGCATAATCTTGCAAATGTTCAGCCTGTCAGGCTACTTCAGGTACTCTGCTGTTTGTGTGCTGGGTCAATTTCATGGTGCCCCTTAAGGCAATAATCTTTTCCCCCAGACTTACCTTAAGCTGTTGGGTTTTTGTTTGCTCTTCTTTGAAAGATGGAGGCACATTATTTAAACCTGCTTTGCCAGAGATTAGAATACACTATTCAACACGGAAAAGTTCATATATTTTTAAAGCTTTAGACAAAAAGACAAATCCATTATTAGCACTTAGAAACGAAATAAATTATTTTTGTGCTTTTGGTAAAGGCCCTTCAGGTTTTGTGTGTTTGGGTATTTTCTTGGTGCTTTTGGTTGTGGTGTGTTTTTTCTTTTTTTAAACTAAATCCCTGTGCCTGAATTTCAAAATCTCTTTGAAGGGAAGCTGTTGAAGAGACCAGGAAACATGTTGCTATTTTGAGTCTTCCTAAAATCCTGTGTTGCTCTAGGATGGGTAGAAAGGATATGAATAAGCTGTAGCTGTATGTACTGTGCTTACTAGTAATGTTAGAGCTTTTTTTCCTAGTGTGTAAAAGGGAACACAAACTGTTCCTTGAGCCTTCCTTGTTAGAAGGGGAACACATGTTTTTCAGAGGATAACTTTTTAGCAAAATTGTATGCGGGTAAAGTTCTAGCACTTGATCTCTACCTGATGAACAAACAGGAGATTAAATACTGCTCAGCTTTCTCCATGTCTTTAGAAAGTCCTTCATTAAGAAGAATACAGGTTTGCATTGGAGAGAGTAGGGAGAAGTAGATGCACAGAGACAAAGGTCAAAACTAAAAGTTGAAAACTTCCATATTGTACAGAAAATCTATTAAGGAATTACTAGACAAAGGAGTACCAGAAGCAAGAAAAGACTATATTTGCCTTTTGGTGAAAACAGTGACTTGATTTAGTGTTGAAACACTTGAATAAATATCCAGTTTGGGTAATTGAGGAACAGCTCCAGTTTTTGGGGGAAGGGGGAAGTAAACCAACTTTGAGATAAAACACTTCTCAACTCGGATTTTCTCTGAGTTGTTACAAAGGTTGGCACTAGCTCTGTAAGAACACTATACTGTATGCTGAAATGTCATAAGGCAGTCCATGTTTATCACTGTTTCATGGTCTTCAAATGTTAAAGAACTGCCAACCTGACAAAAGCCCAGAGGGACTTTAAAATAATTTGAAAGACTGGTGGCATGGGGTCTTGATACAAAAAGCCTCTGGCAGTTTCTGCTTTCTTGGCAGGCCCAGTGTGTTTAGCAAAACAGAAAATGTGAGCATTTCTGAGGTGCTCTGGCCACAACTCTTTCCTAACAGATGTGCTGGAATGGCTGGAGGAGCCTTACAAATCTGAAGACCACCTAGAGCAGCCTTCATCAGATATTTAACAGAAATAACTAATGTAAAGTTCAGAATACTTGGCTTGGGGCCAGTGGTATGAATAAAGTCAAGAAAGCAAAATACTTAGGCCTGTTTTGGAACTCTTCCTAATTTGTATTTGCTATACAGTCTGCGTGTGTAGCAGAGTGTGCACAGCTCTAATTATGAACTCCTTCCTTTGACTTCTTGAAAGAGGCAGTGAAGACTGAGAATAATACCATATCAAAGAAAAAAGTAATTTCTTGAAGTAACATTTTCCATTGATGTTAATCGCTATGGGATAGCGGTCCCCTCTCTCCCATCCCCCCAGTGCTTCAGTAATAATGTGTGATAAAGCAGTCTTAGACTTCGTGCTTATTTGGGGGTGACCAAGATTTTTTTTGTTAATGTAACACTTTATTGCAAAGACTTTGATAAAGCTTTATGCAGCTGTATTCTTGAAACTTAATTGGCTAGTACACTGTGTACAAGAAAACTAGTGCCCATAGCAAGTTTTGTAGGCTGGAGAGAATATTCGAATTGTATAAAATAATGATAGTAGTTAGTTGGTCAGTAAGCTGTGTTCTGGTGGGAATTGTAGAGATATACCTACTCTCCTACAGTGTCCTTAAGGATTCTATTTTAATGAGAAGCAGTGAAGGTGGAAGATGAAAGTGTGGTTCTTGGTGGTTTTCCTTTTTTTCCTTCCTTCCTGTAATCATGTTGTGCTATTGAGCCTTATGCTATCCTACAAGAAGATGCCAGTCTCCAACTTAGTAGCCCTCTGAGCCTTCCGTCTGAGTTGTTGACCTAACTCAACTTGAACTAGGAAGTTCAGAGATGCTGTTAAAACTGATACGCATCTCATGTGGCAGCTAGGTTTTTGTTGCATAACTTCCTTCACGTTTTATTAAAAATGTAGGATTGGGATTTAGCTTGAGGAGACCAAAGGTGTGCTGACTTTCCCACTCTAGTAATGGAGCATGAGGATGACAATAAGAACAGGGTAAAACTTAGGAAAATTTTCCTGAACATTGAGAGACAGTCTAGATTAAGGCTGTGGTGTTTTATTCTAAGCAGAAAGTTAGGACACTGTCTATGATGCTTTTTTGAGGAGGGTGGGGTGTTCAGGAATACTTTATATACCTGTAACTGAAGCATTTGGGAGTGAATTGACTAGTTACTTCTTTTTGCTTGTTTTTGTCTTGCTTTCTGCTAATCAAATTTCTGTTTCATCAACAGAGATGCTGTTCAGTTAAACGTGACTGCCACACAACAGCTCCTCTTCTTGGCACAGCAAATGAAGAATCTGGAAGTGTTCATGCATGTTTCGACTGCCTTTGCATATTGCAATCAAAAACAGATTGGGGAGGTAGTTTATCCACCTCCTGTTGATCCCAGGAAACTGATAGATTCTCTTGAGTACGTGTTATGTTTTCTGAAGCTACTTCAGTAATCTAACCACTTGCTTCCTAGTAACGAAGTACCAAAATATGGTTGGGAACCTGAAAGATGAAGAAATTAGTGTATGCTGTCCTGTCAGTCTGACAGCATGGCTGACACTTCCCTTTTCTGTAAAGGAGATAGGCTAAGGTTTTATGGTCGCTTTCAGCTGAGCTAGGTGTGGAGTAGTACTGAAGGAGGGGGATGCTCATATCTGTTCATGATGCCTTCTGTATTCTGAGAGTGGCAGTTCTTCAGCTGTATGATGAGCTGAATCAGGAGCTATTAAAAACAAAAAAGCTGTGCTCTTACAAGTATGCTAGCACTGGCATTGGGAAGGAAAGGGATAAAAGCAAGACAGTCCTCTTTAATGGCAGCCTCCACTACATCCACCTAAATGCCATAGGCAGATCAGTCTGCGATACAGAAATAATACTACTTAACTGCTCAGAAACACAACTGTAGAAGTAGTTCCGTTAGGTATTCAGAGTGTGCAAACATTAGAAATCTGTTTCTGTACTTTTTTTAGTCTTGGTTTGGGCATTACTGGGGGAAAATTACTCATTCTGTATTTATTTTCTGTGTATATTAGCTGTCTTATTTAGCAGCTGTCAAACCCTAACTAAAACAGGTGGCAAATATGGGATAAGTAAAGTGTAATGTAATAAATAATAATCTCATCTCTAAATCAGTCTCTCCCTTTTTCCCTGTTGTACAAAATATCACCCCCTGTAAGAGAAGTATGAAACTAAAAATAACTACTTAAAAAGTAAAATATCTTCTTTAACTTGTTATTATAGATGGAAAACATTAAAAACAAATGAGTTACTACCTAGAATGTACATTGAGCCAACCTGTTTTTATAATTGACTTTAAATACGCTCTCAGATGAGATATTCTGAAATAGTCCTATTTTTGTCTAGCTTTTCACAAGCAGGATAAATGTAACTTCAGCTGCTTGGTTTGGGTTTGGACAGCTGTCTGTATTTTAGAACTCATGGCAATGAGAGAAGGCTTTTGTAAACTTACACGAGAGTGATCTCTACGCAACTCAGCTGACTGAGACACGTAGAAACAGACTTGTGTCCCTTTCTGGGCTTTTCTACCCCTCTTCCCATACCAGTTCATATCATGAAGGTAGTCTTTTGTGTGTCAGCTTTGATTGTAACAGAACATTGGTGAATAACAATGTTGGCTAAATTCCATTTATGTGGCTAAGATGTGGAGTGGCTGAGGCAAATAAAATCCAAGTCCTGTTTTGAAGTGGAGAACACCAAAGTAGCAATAGTTCAAGAGGCACACCTCTGTTATGCTTGTGTGCTATGACTGAAGGTTATTACGATTTTAAACATAAACTGCTGAATGAATTGGGAAGCAAGGTGAAATTGCAAGACTTAACTAAATTAAGGGGAGAAGGATGGTGACCCAGCTTGCTTCAGAGGTGTGGGATTGCTTAACACTGCAAAGGTGGAGGTGATACTCGTAATGCAGCTGGGACTCCTTTCCAGTGGCATTGCTTACCTAGATCACTTAATGCTTGCTAACTGAGGAGCAGCGTGCCTGTGTCCCAAAGACTAACTTGCCGTGTCTGCACTTCACGTTTGAGAACTTAGTTGATAGAATTAGGATTATTGTAAAGGAATGTACTACTTACTCTGTAGTTGGTGTGCAATAAATGAATTGCTTGGGCAAAAAAAAATAAATAGCAGTATGCTTCTTTCAGTGGACACTGAACATGCAGCCCTCCTCTCTTTTACTGAGAAACTTGTTTTCATTTCAGTCTGTATCCCTTTTTCTTTAAAGGAGAAAAAAAAATCATGTTAATGTTAACAACAAAAAAAAAAAAGATATTTAATGAAGTTCATAAATGTGCTTACTTTCTACAGTACACTGTAGGAAATAGTTCCAAAACCCTTTTGGAACTGGGCACATGCTTTGGTGAAAGATTTTTTTTTTCTTGGCATTTACTCTCAAATGTTTAGGTTTTGTGGTTTAATTAAAAATAAAATTAACATGAAGTCAGTATAAACAGTCTTCTGTAAGTTGATAGTAATATCCTTAAACAAACCAGCCTAACTGTACTGCTGCTGTAGGATCTCAAATATAACATTCTTCCTTAAGATCCTTTTTCAGAAGGGTTCTACATATGCAGTTGCCACCTTAATTTAAATAGTAGCTTATCAAAATAAGTAATAGACAGGCTGTATTAAACTTGATTTTTCTGGCCTCTGGGATTGGTCTTCAGTTTAAAGAAGCAAAAAAACCCTAAGTCTTATATTTTGATGAATGGTATTTCAGGAGGCTATGTGGTTTTAAAGTTAAGTGCAGTATAAGCTGTCAGCAGATTTGTTGTTTGTACAAATGCTTATGGAAATGTTTTAAACAGCTCAAAGTTGTAAAGTAGAAATAACTATGTGACATGCTAACTTCAGTGGGAGTTGGTGTTAAATTCTGAAAATCAAGCTGAGATTTAAAGTGTATTAGTTTAGTGTTAGATGCTGGGGCTGTTGCAGAAACATGAAATACAGAACTGCATTTTTAATTATTGCCTAAATTTCTTCACAGAATTTCTTGTTCCTCTGTGCTTATGCAGCTTCTAGGGGAATGTTAATACTTTGGTGGTTTTAGTGTGGTTTGTGGTTGTGGTGGTGGTTTTTTTTTTTTTTTTTACCTTGGGTGGTGTTTTGAAGTGATTTGATTTTAACTTTACTTTCCAAAGTACTTTTGGTTTATCTGAATCTTTTTTACATATTTCTTTTGCCTGTGCCGTCTGTCCGTGTCCCCACCCCAGCCCCGTGAAGCAGCATGCAGTAATTTATGCTTACCTCTTATTTTGTTTCTTTAGGTGGATGGATGATGGCCTAGTGGAAGATATTACTCCTAAACTGATAGGCGACAGACCTAATACTTATATATTTACAAAAGCCTTAGCCGAATATGTAGTACAACAAGAAGCTGAAAAATTAAACGTAGCCATTATAAGGCCATCTATTGTTGGTGCTAGCTGGAAGGAACCTTTTCCTGTAAGTCATTGAGTTTTCACCTGACCATCTTGCCTGTAAACCGTAGTACATACTGACAGCCTGTTTATCTAGCAACCTTAGTAGAGGAAAATCTTTTAGACTATGAAGTTGTGGCTTAGTTGCTTCTGGATAACAACTCTGCTACAGAAGCTGCCAAATACAGTATTCTTATGTGGGGATTTTAGAGGTAAATTACTTCTAATCATAGAACAACATGAACAATACATTTCTATCACAGTGGAGATACTATTTCACATATGAAATAAGTGGTCATTTTTTTACTTCATGATTCTGTGTATCTTCATCTGTTTTTCCCTCTTCAAGATGCTTTGGTATGTCAGTAGCTGCAAAGGATGACTAAGAAAACTAGGGACTGCAGGACATAAAGGTGTTTTGGCTCTGCTTCTTTTAGTCAAATGCTGTAAGCTTTGCAGGGGGTGGCATAAGTTCTATGTGCTGTATACTGTATTGATACATAACATACATGCTTCCCCCTAATGGGAGACTGGTGTTGGAATAGGTTGTTCAGTTCAAGACTGAACGTCTCTCAAGCCCTTAAAATCCATATAATTGACTTTGCATACCTTTTTGAGTACGTACAATGTACATGTCAAACCAATAAGTTTATAATGTCTAAATACTGTCACTAAAGGTGAGTAAGAATGTCTTCTGTTTGAAAAAGGTAAAACCTAATAATAACACAACTGCTTATCTGTTTTCTCTGAGTTGCTAGAAGCTAGTCTACAAATGCTTGTAAACTTGAATACTTCCAACATAAACATATTTATGCAGACAGTGCCCTGCAGTTTATTCACTACAAAATAAATCAGCTAGCATCTCACTTTGAAGGACCAGTGAATCTATGGGTAGATCTCTTGTCTGAGTCATAGCAACTTGTTACATCGCTAGATTTTGCTATGGAAGAACTTCATTTAGAGACATAGAAACTAATATCTTTCTCTTCTTTAAGGGGTGGAGGGCAAAGAGAATACACTTGTAGAAACTTCTCAAATTTTCTACTTGAAACTGCTGACTTCAGTATACTCTAACCAAATCCTTTCCCTCTCCCCTGTTCATAATAGGGATGGGTTGATAACTTCAATGGACCTAGTGGTATCTTCATTGCTGTAAGTAATGAATATACTTAAATCTTTTTCCTCATTTTGGAAGGCAACAAAGCTTCATATGTTTTACTGGTGGGTCTTCTGTCTCTTTTTTTTGTTGTTGTTTTGTTCTTTAAGGCAGGAAAAGGAATTCTTCGAACAATCAGAGCTTCCAACAGTGCACTAGCAGATCTTGTTCCAGTAGATGTTGTTGTCAATATGACACTGGCTGCAGCCTGGTATTCTGGAGTTAATAGGTATAACAGGTGACAATAGAGAATACTAAGTATTTTGAAAATATATTGTGTATTTTAATAGATCAGTCTTCTATGGAACTTTTAATCAGTGTCATGCTGTTCCCCCAGGACAAAGGAATCTAAGGTTCTAAGAGCGTTAGTCCCTCAAAGTGTAACTTCCTTATACCAAAGAGGAAGACATCACCTACTGATACTGTTGTAAAAGCTATGCCTGAAAATTCTTTCCTGGGCCTTGTTGTAATCAATACAATCTACAGTAATGTAGGTGGTGACTTCTCTGAAAGAAAAGAAATATGATAGTTACAGAAGGAGAATAATACTGGAAGATGATATAGGAAGCAAAAAATCCAACATAGGACTGATGCTTTCTGCTTTATGTAAATGATGCTGTTAAGGGAAAGGATAACTGTGGGTATGTCATTTGTCTGTGTTTTTAAAAAGTTGGTTGTCTTCTAACTTGCTCTTTTGTCTTTTTCCCCCCAGACCAAGTAATATCATGGTATATAACTGTACAACAGGTGGCACCAATCCTTTCCACTGGGGTGAAGTTGGTATGCTGTACTTCTTTTTTCATGAGCTTTAATAGAAAAATAAGGCCAAATAATAAAAGCACAGGCTATAATCAGTAGATTGTATTGTATTTTGATTGTTGAAACTAGCATAATAGCCATACCTCTCAATTTTGCACGGTACTGTGCTTTTTCATTATCTTTCACTGTTAATTCTCTCCCCTTGTTAGCATTATTGCTGTTTTGTTTTGGTGGGGTGTTGGGGGTTTTTTTATTCCATTATAACTTAAACTATGGGAGAACTGATTTTTCTGTTTTGATGCTGCCGTGACCTAATCTTCAGAGTGTTGGTAGTGTGCAGAGAAAAGCATTGCTCAGAGGAGCAATAATGTTGTTGGGTTTAATGCTAACTTTACTAAATACATGTGGATAAACAGCCCACAATTAGATGTTTTGTACATCTGCATAACTGAGAGGTATGATAATAGTTTTGCACTTGTGTAGCTCTTTGTTGTGTTGGGCTTAAGTTAATTGTTGGTTGAGGTAGCTTTTTTTAATGTTCAGATAGCTACGTGAGACTTTGAACTATTCATGTGCAGGGAAAAGTAATCTTTAAGAAAGTATGGCCGCCTACTTTACACTCTTAGATATCCTGACTTAGAGTGTAACTGACATCCCAAAAACTTTGTAATACTTTTTGTTATAAATAGCAATACAAGCTGACTGGCATGGTAAAGCTGTTTGTTAGCTTTCAATTTTTTTAGAGAGTTCTTAAGCTCAGATTTTTCTTTTTTTTCTTTCAGTTAACTTAAATACTTAAATCTATTTTATTTCTCTTGACTACTTTCTTCATGCTTTTTACTTGCTTTTGCCCATTTTATATGTATCTGTATTTATAAACCTTACTGCTTAAGTCAAACTTGGAAAACTGCTGACTTCATTTATATTCCAGTTTGAACTGGGGTATTTAAACACTGTCTATAACAACAGCATAAAGTTACAAGAGATGATTACAAAGATGAGGTGAATTTCAGTCTAACTTTCTAAGGCACTGATCCTGCATATCTGTCATGTACAGAATTTCCAGGTGTCAGCAGGAGTTTCTCATGGAGTCCCATCCTAATAGCTTTTTGCTTAATGCTTAAATTTGGATAAGGTGCTTTAAAATGTCATTTGAAATCCACTTCAAATGCTTTCAGTGTCTTCAGTCTGCTTTTAAATTACTGTTCACATAAGAGATTAGAATAGCCTTCTTCATGAAATATAGATGACTATTTAAATAGCTTTACATGCTATATAAACTGAAATTGCTGGGAATTTTTTAAATCAATGACTTTTAAGGTAGGGAAGAGGAACAGAAAGAGAGAAGCTACGATAAAATATGATACTGAAGATGAAGGCATGAAAGGCTTCTTGATATAATAAGAAGCAGTTCAACAGTTTTTTAGGTGAAAAGCTTACGACTTTATTTTCGTTTCTGTGGATTATAGAAGAGTTAGGGTGGCTATTTAAATGGCATACTGAAGTAAATATTGTACACTGTAATGTACTTTGAAAACCATTAAATTTTACATGGTTATTATCAAAGCTGTTACACAACTTTTCTTTCTCAGAATACCATGTAATTTCTACTTTCAAGAGGAATCCTCTCGAACAGGCCTTCAGACGGCCCAATGTAAATCTAACTTCCAATCACCTTTTATATCAGTACTGGATTGCTGTAAGCCATAAGGCCCCAGCATTCCTGTATGATATCTACCTCAGGATTACTGGAAGAAGCCCAAGGTAATGGTGACTAGCTCTGTCTTGTCTGTTCCTCTAACTTTTAAACAAAGCTGTGCTTACACTATGATGTATATTGATTATTTTAAAATTTTTTTCTTGCCCTGAATGCTTTGTGACTAAAACTCAGCCTTTTTTTCCTGAGAACAGGTCCTTGAATTCAAAGTGACTTTGAACTTCCTAACAAAAATGAGGTTGTTTTTGTTGGATAGTTTGGGTGTTTGAGTAGTCAAGGTAAACGGAATTAGAAGATCTAGCAAGTGATGTTTGTTCTTATAACAAATACTCAAAATTACTCATCCTTATTTTTTTCCTACAGGACGCCTTGTTAATTTGAATTTCAACATAAATACGCTAGACGGTGCAGTAAGGCACTCTGCTCTTAGTTTACAACACAACCGTCTCTTGTATTGGTATCTGTGTGCAGTCAACCATATAATGCCTGCATTTTTGCATGATCTTTTGCTCAGATTGACAGGTCATAAACCATGGTAAGGAGACCAGGGCTAAAAATACTTTGCTGGTAAGGTGGTGGAGACTTGTGAAGAAGACATGGCGTGGGCTCTGTCTAGATTTACTAACTATAAGCAATAACAATCCAGTGGCAGTGTTTCTAAGAGATTAATGACCGGCTGAACAATGTTGTTGAAGATATGTCTCAGATCAGAATCCTAGTCAGTCATTAAACTCTTAAGAAGTGGCTTGCATTAAGATTGTTGTTGCTATTATAAACCAAAAATGGAACAGGAGACGGAGTTAATTGCAGGTTATTTCTGTAGGTGATACAACTTGATCTGGTATGTTGGTTTGTATCATCTCAATGTTCCATTCAGTTTATAATATTTATACTAGTATGTGGCTAACTTGTGGTGAAAATGGCATAGCCCTGCTAAATAGGCTAAACTAAATTATGTAGAGGGAATATAAGATGTCACTTCAATTTGTTTCAGATTTGCCAAGCCATATGATCTTAAGTCATTGCACATGTCATGTTTTCAAAAGTATTTGTCTTCAGACTCTATAAAATCTCCACTGTGGTCACACTGAGTTAACACAAGTGAGTATTCGTTCATTGTCCTGTAGTCTAGGTCTGTCTTAGAAGGCAGGGAAAAGCTATGTAACAGACTTGGCACTGGATCAGTAGAAGCAAGACATGTAAGTGGTTTGTAGGAGAAAACTTCTAAACTGCCTTGGGTTCTGTTGTTCCAAGCCTACTCAATAGTGTAATACTCACAGCAACAGTAGTGGCAGGAGGCTGTGCCTGTACGATAATCTTCCCATATTAAAAAGATGTAAGCTCTTCAGATCGAAAGAAGGTATTGAACGTACAAGTTCCTAGCTTTTAGGTTCTTTTGCAATTTTAAGTTACTTTAAGTTATTTTAAGTTTAATAAAAACTGATAGAAATTCCCTGACAGATGTGAAGACTTCATCACTGACTAAAAATAGTTATACTATAAATGCCAACCTACTGTCTCTCAAATGGTTAGGAAGTAGTACTGCCAGAACCTTGTCAGTTTTTAAAAGGTGTCTACTCTTTTAAGTGTCTGACCAGTGGGAGTAGAACAAGGCTGTGAATAATCATGTTGTTTAGAACACTCTTAGCAGTTTTATATTGTAACGCTGGGAATGTTGAATCTTGGTTTTGCTTTTCCTGGGCTTCTTAATTGAAGTCCAGAGATGGAATTTAAAACGTTAATCAGTACTAGTACAATTGGTGACATTAAATATGTATTTTTCTAGCTTGTGAAGTTTTACTGATACGAGTATTCCTAATTAGTTTAATATAACAGTGGGTGGGTGAGTTTCCTGTTCTGCACAAGATTTCCAGTTTGGAGGAAAGATAGGAGATTCAATTAAAACAAGCTAGTGTTTGGTCACTAAGGTTTATCAAATGCACTTGAAAGAAAAGATTTTTAAGTTTGATATGCAGCCCACTTACAGGAATATAGCTTTCATTATATAGTGCTCTGCTCTTTTTTTGTTAAGCATTTAAAAAATGGGAGCTTGCAATAGGAGCAGTAGAAATAAATAGATGCCAGCAAGACATGCAGTGCTAAATTCTAATGGGCTTCATGTGTTGTTTAATAATAGAAGAAATTTGAGGTAGATCTTTACTCTTCTACTTTCTTCTAGTCTTCTGGCTCAAAGTACTTTGAAAGCTGCTTTAACTTATGGGCTGAAGACACAGTCATGGTATAAGGATGTCCTACTGTTGCTGTGGTCATTCTGTCCAGCTGACAGAATGGTTTTAATTACCAGGTAGCATGCACTGGGATACTTCTAAAGCCTTGGAAATGTTGTTGGAGATTCTTGATACAATGCTATTCTGAGTGAAGAAGGGCTGGCTTAACCTAAAATGTGACCTTTTCCACCACGATTTAGCAGAAAAACTTGAGCAGTATGGTAAAAATGTAGTAAAATCAGCACAAGAAAATTCACATACTGTGCTAACTTGACTTGACATGGTCAATAGCCTGCCCTCTCTGTGCTGAGTCTGAATAGACTTCTGAGGTCTTTGTGTACAATGTAGGAAAAACTCTAAGCAATGAAATTACTGTGTAGGTTTAACTGCGCTGTTGTCATACTGTCAGGATATTTTACTGCAACTGAATGAGAAATTTTTAAGAAGTGGAAGAAATAGATCAGGCCTATGACCCTTTAGAACTAAAGGATTATGTTCATAATAATACAAAAAAAACTTCCTGTTCAGGTTTTTTGAAAACTTATCTGTTGAAATCTGTCTGCAATATGAAATAATTTTTGCACCTCACTCAAGGAAGCAATGTTTTTAGAGAGATGGAAACCTTTTTGCTGTTTTTGCATCTAGTTGAATGTTCTTGAATTTACCAATTCTCTGATAATATTAACAGTTAAGGAAAGGGAAGGAGGAAACAATGCATATAATACTGCCTCCAAATTTTATAGAAAGAATAGGTACAATAAGGAGTGGTGCAATGAAAATTTAATACTTTGTGCTAAATACTTAAGACTGTTACAGCATTGTGCAATTACACAATAGTGGTGGTAATCCTTAGCATCCAAGTTTAAGGATAGTGTTGTCAGTAGCTTATATATAGTTGCCATATATACTTAGTTATGTAGCAAAGCTTATTAATTGTCTAATATAAGGCATAGTTCTCTCTTTTAACTTTGCTTTGTGCTTAGCACGACAGAACCATATGTTATCTAAAAACAGTTCAGTATATTAGAAATACACACCCAGCAGATCTTTCCAATTACTCTGGAAGAACAGAATGTGGCATGAAATATTTAAAGTTGTAATTCAGGGATTTCTCCAGCAATTCATTTTCTGTTACTGCTTCTTAGAAAGCTGAGGGGAAGGTGTGGTTCATGTATGCAGGGAGGTGTAAAGGACATAACTTCATATCTATCATTTCAATTTAAAGCTTCTTAAAACTTAACATGAAGCAGCTTTCGCATAGTTACTGTCTTACAAACTGGAAATGAGTAAAGAGTACGCTTTTATTGAATAGATTAATATGATTTTTCCTCTTGGAAGCACTTTTAAGTTGTGCACTTAAAGGAACCACAGAGCTGCTGGAAAGGTGAGAATTCCAGTAGTATGTCTTAGACTTCAAAATTTACAGCCAAATGAAAATCTGAACAAAGACAAATCTGAAAGGTTGTTTTATGTATTTTGGAGGAATCTTTTTTTTTAAAAATAAAAAGTATAGTTTCATGTTGATTTAGTGCAAACTAAGCTGTCACCAAGAAAGTTGATCCTCTTCTGCCAACTTTGTAATTGATCTAGCAGTTCAGAGAATGTGGAAACATTTGATTCTTTTGGCTGATATATCAAGAAACTAACCCTACAAAAAAAAAAAACAACCACAAAAACAATTTGCCACTGATGAATTGAATCAGCTGTTTCTGTGGCCAGCCACTAAATCCAATTTGAGTTGGAGGGAGGGGAAAAATCTGTAGCTGAGGTAGAAGAACTCTTTTTAGCCACTTTTTAAAAAATTTTTATTCTTTTTTTAATTGGCTTAGCTATGCTCTAAAACCATATCCATAAGCAGAGACAGCAAGATTCCCAGCAGAGGTTAGTCTTTACATTAGTTTAAATATTAGTTTAGTTTTGTTTACAGAAAAGAGTTGAAAACCAATGTCAGTGGTCAGTAACAAGCTCAAAATCTACACTTGTCTCATCAGATATTCATTTGCACCATTTAGTATTTTGGAGGGGCACAAATTTTCTTAAACTGTAGTAGTCTAAGCACTCCAACTATAGCTCAGCTGTTCTTCCAGCTTAGTATAAGAACAAAAATTGGGGAGACACAAAAGGGCAAGTCAACCAGGTTAAATAATCTTAAGACTGTCAGTGGACAGACCTCTGCAAAAAGTCTAAGCACTTATCTACTGTGTCCTGTTTGGCACTATTTTTATCCAGGCCATTTTGCTATGAGGTCTTTCTGGCTTATCTGACTAGTGAGATCTTTGCTTTCCAAGTTTCAAGTTCTTTTCTGCATTTGTTGACTTAAACTGTTACGCTTTTTTTAATGTACAGTTCATTTGTGTTAGCACAGGGTATGTTTTGGATGCACAGTCTATATTCTTCATTATTTTTGAATCGGAGGAACTCTGGTTCAACTCTGCTCCCACTGTTGCCACCTTGCCCAACTGGTGAAACTATAAACAGGTGTTTGAAAGCATCTATAAATGTCTACTAATAAAATCAGCTGGTGGTCTAAAATTTGAATGCAACTCTGAATTTTACTCTGTAGATAAGCTCTTGTGGTGTTTAAGGAAAAATATTTGTGCTTCTTGTGCTTTAGAGATACTCTACTTTCTCAGTGGTCTCTGCGGTTTGTATTACTCCATGAGAAGAAAGAGAGGCAATTTTGATATTCCCTTAGATACTGAGATGCCAGCTGCGGTTTGTATTACTCCATGAGAAGAAAGAGAGGCAATTTTGATATTCCCTTAGATACTGAGATGCCAGCCATTAGTCACAGCAGGGGACACTAATATGATGCAAAATACTTTCTTTAGAAGAGTTTCTGGGACAAAGTGCTATATCCCTTCTACAAGTACAAATGCATCAAGGCAGCTTTCAGAGAAAAATCGGTTGTTTTTATTGCTTCTATGAACTTTATTGAACAAAACTTACCTTGAGAAAGCCATTTCCTGTTAGTGCTGGGTGGTTCTGCTTTTTTTTTTGCCCCCTGCTCCTTAAAATAATCAGTGTATCCTGCTATAAGGATCAAATTGGTAGCAGTTCTATGAGATGGAAATACCTCAAGCACCCAAAGTGGGAATGTAATATGATGAGGTGATGAGGTAGTAGCTAGTACTTATTAAAATCGAGTGACCATCTCCAGCACTGTAACACCTGGAAACAATTTTCTTGTCATAAATGTGGGAACTTTGCGTCTGAGAGACTGGATGACTCACATTTTTTGGGTCCACTTCAGATAGTCTGATCAAAGAAACTTGCCCAAATTGATCCTTATAACATAATTTCTCTGTACTCCAATTGATGGTTTTGTAGAGTTGCTTCCTCTGCTTAATAAGGGATGATGGAAGGTATTTCTTCATATTTTGAAGTAGCATAGAAGTGATCATCTAAATAGTAGGATCTGCTATGGTCTGTCTGTGCCTGTAGATATTTTCCTGCCCTTTGCTGCAGAAGTAGTAGGGTTGAGGGGCTAAGCCCTATTTCTAGTGGTTTTAAGCCTTGATCTCTTAGTGACCATAACAAACTAGTTTTGTTAGAGATCTGCACACTGTGCAGGAAGACCAGAGGAACTTACTCCCTTGCTTGAAGTTGTCATGTGCAATATGTTCTGCAGTGTGCAATTTGACTCTTTCATCAAGTCAAATTGTTCAGTACAGCTAGATATTCCAGCATGCTGAAATGAAAAGTGTTCTGAACCTGTGTCCTAAAATAAGAGTTACCAACAGAAAACAACATTTTACCATCTCTTCTTTTTTTAGGAAGGAACTTAATGTTGCGCTGGGAAGTAGGATTAGGAAAAAAAGATGGTCCTATAATTTCTGATTCTATATAAGGATTGGACAGCCAAAGTTCATTGTAATAATATGCAGAAACATCCTGTTGGTCTAATATAACATGCTTTGGGTACAGAGCAAGATGGGATATATTAACACAGGGGTGTGGGATTGGAGGGTAAAAAATTTACAATCTTACTGTCTATTTTTCTTGTTTGAACTAATCTTTACCACTGTAACCTGTACATTCTATGCCTTGGACTGTAGGATGATGAAAACAATAACACGTCTTCATAAGGCCCTGATGTTATTAGAATACTTTACAAGCAAATCTTGGATCTGGAATACTGAAAATATGACTATGCTAATGAACGAGCTAAACCCCCAAGATAAAAAGGCAAGTAGCTGTTTGATGCGGCCATGGGGACTGAAAGTGAAATATAAGCTCATGGATTTAAGACTGAATAAGGACATGAACTGGTGATGCTGCTTACTGTAATGTAGAGCTAAACCTAGTGTTAGCTCAGCACTGGAGATCCCTGTTGCATCCTTTCAGTTGTGCCAGGGCTGTATTATAAGCTAGATCAGTGATGTGATCAGAGATGAGGAAGGGCAGGACCCCCTTGAAGGAGGCCTGATGTAAAAGATGGGTTGTCTTTGGAGTGGCCTGATCATGTGATCTGGTGTTGCCTATACATCGACCAAGTGGCCAAGCTGTTACAGTTTTACCTACATCACGAATAAAACAAGGCTTTACTTCTTGATCACAATCTCTTTTTCTGAGGAACAGGAGATGGGTTTTGAGGGACTACTTTTGCTTGTTTTTAAATTAGTAACAACTTTTATATACACTTTTCATGCTTTGGTCAAAAAGCCTGTGTATTCAAAGAAATGTAAGTGTAAATTCTCTCACCTCTTTCTGAAGCACACTCTTGCTGCGTGACTAAAACTGCCCTGTGCAGGGGGGAAAGTGTAACAGAAGCAGGATGACAGAAAAGTCCTGAAGGTTGTTGAGGAAGAATGAAAACTGTTGTTGAGTGCAGGGTCTGAGTAAGAGTGAATGAAAGAGCTCAAAGGAAAAGTCTTAGTCTTCCCAATGTGTGTGATGGTTGACCATCTATGTGACTCTCTATGTTTGTGCTGTATTTACCAATCTCAAACTAACAGAAATGCATGGATGTGGCTAGCTGTTTCACTGTGATGACTAGTATTGACTGGGAAGTGTTATGGAAATCTTACTGGATTCATTCCAAGCTATTCAAGATATATTTGTGTAATAGTGAAGCTGTAATGGAGTGGAGCTGTTGTTTCCGTGCACAC